TATTGTTATTATTCAATAAACTTTACACTATTTTAATCTAATTTTTCATCTATCTACTTTTTATTATGTTTTTATAACATATAGTGATTTATCCAACAGTATAAATTTTACATTTGGTTTTTTATACATCATAGTATGTGATATTGACACAGATTTTGTCATGTCCTATTAGTTACAGATTTAAAGATATATACACTTTTAATTGTATAAGCCTCTTGCCATATAGGAAACAGTTCCTTATACTGTTCTCCTATATACACTTTTTATTATAGTGTTCATCTTGAAATTTTAAGTAGAGCAATTTGGTGTGTAACAACTTGATTCTGCTTCTAGCAGATTTAAAGATATACACCCCATATATATTAGCTGTGTATCTTTCAACATAGAAAAGCCTTTCTAAGTGAATTGACTCCTGGATTTTACTGCACCTAATTTTAGGAGCATACCAAGTTATTTTTATTCTACTTTAAGGCGGAGCATTTGGTGAAACTCCTGCCCATATCCAGTTTGAGACATTTTGCTACAAGTCGGACTCCCTCACCTCTGGGTGTTGCAATAGGCATACCAGACCACTCTATATTTATTTCTACTATTGCAATGACTATATATATTCAATATTGTAAACAATGTTACTTAGTAAACAATACTATTATATAGACTGCAACTTTAATGTATGTCACACGCATGCAAATTATTTTAAAATATATATCAATATCACAAAAATATCAATATATTAATGCATTTTTTTTTAAATAAATTATTTTAAAATGTTATCCAAAAATAGTGAATCATTTGAAAAATGTATCTAAAAATTTTAACTCAAGGTCATGGTTTGAGAATTCTGTATTTTCAGTATACATATAGAAAAGCAAATAATGTATATTAACTGAATTTAAAGCTAATTTCAAATTTTAAAATGGCTGAATGAAAAATGTAGCAAACTTGTGTTTTTTTCCTTTAGCTATGTTGGTCACAAAGTCTAAATCTACTTCAAATATCCAACAATTCACTTTTTAGCAAATAACTCTGGTATCAGTCAATTATCTCTGCAGTGGTATTCATGTTAGAAAAAGAGGAATAGTGTAGTAAAAGTGGAATCCCCAAAATATTTTTTCTGTGGAAAATAAATAAATTATAAATATTCGGGGGAAGGGCCTAATAGCCGACCAATATGGTCGCATGTAGCTGGAGCTCCTCTGGAACAACCACTTATTAAGCCTAACCAGTAGCATTAAATTATTTGGCACAAATCGGTTTATTGTCATTGAGGAACACCCTGCCAAGTGTTGGACTTGTTTGCTTTGCCCAGTGAGCACAGCTCATGAAAGGTTTTCTGGTGGCCTGCAGACATACTCGAGGCATACTCGAGGATATGGTATGGGAATCACCCACTTTTAAACCCTGTTTCCCCCCTGGACCGCTTAGAGTTATCCCGGTGGCACTGGCACCCTATTGTGCCCTACTGCAAGCAACACTATGCCAGACAGCAACTCAAGAAGCTGACCTGACACCTCAGATAGTCACCACTCCATATTCTGCTGCTCTACAGGCCTGCCCAAATGGATCATCCAACAGTGATGACCTGTTTCTTCAGGCCTTTGACTGTCTGTGTGCCCAGTTCTGCACACTCACCACTCCTTTTGTATGCCAGGGTAAAGTCTCCTGGCTGTGGTCTGTGGGGCAATGCCGCATGGTGGGGTTTTGCCCATGTAGACACCACGTGTCATCAAGGAGAGGCCAACTTCAAAAGTTCAACCTGCTCTGTTAGGGGATCCATGCTCAGCAAGGCCCATCGTGTGCATCAAAGTGGACACGAGGTCTTCATCCCGTAGTTGGCTATTGCTGGACTCATGGAGGCACTAATCAGGAACGCATTTACGTTTGGAGTTGGTGGAGTCTTCTCCATGACTCAGTGAATTCTAAAATCCATTTGTCACGAACCTCCCATTCATGGGAAGTTTTCCCATGAATGGGATGCAAGTTCTACTCAATATGCAAGAGGCTATAGTTTTGGAGACATGGAGCATATTGTTATTATTTCTTAATACCAGATGACACTGTATCTAATTTGTTTAGATTTTTGTGTATGTTTATTCTCATGTTTATTCTCATAGGCTGACAGTCGGAAGGTACCATATTTTAGCATGGCATATTTCTATGCAGGTCTTAGCCTAGTGTTATTTAATCTGTTATTGTGCCCTGCTTGCTCACCTGCAACGATTCTTCTCCTCTTTCAGTGGTACTACCTCTTGCAACCATGTACAGTTCTCTGCTACAGCATTTCTTTGGAAGGACAGAGTGTTTACTCTTGCAAAATCAGCAACAATTAGTCACCTTCAGTCATACAGTAAGGGTGGGCATACTAGACTGCTTGGGGTGGGGGGGTTTGGTGTGCTGTATAATATGGCAGTGGAATTCTCACCAGTGCATGCTGAATCGCCATTATTGTTCTACCAAGTTGAAGGTAAAGTTTTGTTTATTTCCAGCTTCTGAGACTTCCTTGTCCTAGTGCTAGGAATGTGTATATCAGTTTATGTTGATCACTGGGTGGAGACATTATTTAATATCAATATGTCCTATTCTCCCTATACCTCTAAGGAGACTCAAGACTACTGGCCTGTTCCAGCCCACGCGATGGTCTCTGAGTTCTCAAGGCTACTGCCCAGTTTAATGTACTTAACATGCATCATCTCCAATGATGCATGTGCAGTCCACCTTCAATATACACATTGCAGTTGCTCTGGGTTAAGAGGACAGGGACACTTCAGCCATTTTAATTAGAATAAAATATGAACATAATGTGAAAATAAGTTTTTGCTTTCCATAGTTCTTTCGTGCATTTAGGTCATCGGACATTACTTTTCATGGTGTTGTAACTTGGGTTTTGCTATTGGCAGAGTAGCAGATGATGCATGTGCAGTCCACAGTTTTCACAGTTCAGCATTCTCAAAGGAGGAGCCTTCCCTATTCTAGATGCAGAATTAAAGTGACATTGTAGGCACTATAACCATTTCATCCTATTGAATTGGTTATAGTGACTCGAGTTCGCTATCACTATCCTTCTATTCGGTATTAAACCAGAAGTTTGACACTAAGCTAGGTTCCTTAGCCACCCACAGCTTGACCGATACTGTATGTATGTATAACCCAAACAGCACATGAGGACGACCTGCTTGAAACCCTTGTTTAACTTTATAACATTAAAAATGGTTTACAGCAATGTAACATCATTATTTCTCTCTGTTAACTCTATGATTTCTGGGGGTGGCCATCTTGGAAACACTACGCTGGAAGCCCCATGAATGAAGACTCAGTGAGACTGGCACAACTTAGTTTGTTTTTAAGTAGCACCAGTCCTGGGACAACTAAATGTTGTTAGGGGAGTTAGGAGGCTATACATAGGCTGATGGAGGGACGTTTGGCTTTAGGTATTCTAAATGCCTTATTGACACCCCGTAACAATTGCTATTCATTAATAAGACAGTATAAGTCAATTTCAAAACTAACTCCAAATACTACATCTACTTTACACACTTTTCCCTAAAACTTACATTAAATGTTTCCTCATCCCCTCAAAAGTGTGAGTGGTCAATATACATACTAAACTTCTCCAAACGATAGAGTAAGAGTTCAATCAATTAAACCAATCAGATTTTATATATATATAAAAATAAAAAAAAACATGTATCATATGCTCTCTATATATATAATTTTGTAATAATTTTGTAAAGTAAATACCACCTGTTAGGTCATCCCCTGGTTTACCCTTGTCCACAGGAGCAACCATCTTTAAGTCTTTTTTGCTTTGTTGCATGGAAACAAAGTACGATGATCATCCTCAGAGTATAAAAAACAAAAATAAACTAAAGGAGCGATAACCCCCTAGGTGATCCTCCAGATAACTGGTATAGTAGGTATATTCACCGTTAATACAATGTTTCTCGAGAATTCATGAAGTGTATATAAGGTATAGGCAGTAAAAACTCTAGCATCTCTAATAAAACCAAGGGTATCTAAGGACAAAAATAAATATAGGAGCAAAAAAAGCTTTATTAACATTGTAATGTCCAGAAGATACTAAGGTAAACAATGTAACCAGTGGCTACTAAAGCACAATCTATGAACCCCCCCCATACCGTCTGATTTACTGTCAGTTTTTTTCAGTGTGAATGGAATTACATTACAATTTTCACAGCGATGACAATTACTAATAAAAAAAAAATTGCGTACATAATAATCAATTCGAATTATTGATAGCAGAGTAACTTCCGTGTTACAAGGATTCTGTGAACTATTTGATGTAAATGTGTCCATTGTCCCTTGGTTCACCAAGAAATATTTTTCCACTTTTCTTGCACAAATTTACCATTAGTTAACACAATTTATAGACCATTTGAGAGAATTTCTAGATAATGTCTGGAATAAGTACATGATACTGTTTGTTAGAAAAAACAGGATTCCTTAGGTGAAATCCGAGATTATAGTAAAATATCCTTGAGTTTATATTTTCAAATAGGTACAATATTTACTAGTGTCAGTGGAAGCATGCAACAAAATAGAGCTTGTATTTAGATATTAATTATCAATTTACTTACTGCAAGATTACCATATATATTTTTTAATTGACGTAGGCAATGGCAAACGAATGTGATCTCTATTTCGATGGATTTAATTCACCAGTGTTTTACTTGTATATTAAATACTTTATGTCTATAAGTCTACATTACATTGGTGATACATTGACTGTTTTGACAATAAATTGTGATGTCAAATGCTTGCGTTCAAAAACTAATCTAAAGAGCTGAACGATTGCATACAAAATTGATGGATTTCAGCGATTTGACAATTTGCCTCTTTATCTCACACTCTTGTGAGTCCATTTTGTGCAATAAGTCTTTAACTGACTTTTGATTCCTGCAATATGATGCTGCTATATTTGTTTCATTAATATATATTCATTTAATCATATTTCATATTTTCTTTAATTCACCATTGAAATTTTAAATCTTCTGAGATATATTTTCATATTCTCGAACATCGTCAATCTTCATGGCTTCAGCAGGAATGTGGCGATTTTCAGGCTGCAAAAACAACAATATAAAACATTTATTTGTCTATTTAGAAATGTAAATCAAGGTCAAGAAATATTTTTAACTCAAGAACATTAACAGACCAATTTGTGTGATTTATTGTATTTTGTATCTTTTAGACTACACAGCAAAGTATTCTACATTTACATATTCACATTTTCACTACATATTTGAATAAATATGGAATAATTAGAATTTGTCACCTTTAAATTGGAATAATCTGGGCTGATGTTCTTCTTTTCAAGATCGGTATATATGGTATTAACAGGTTGTGCAGCCTAGAAATAGAAAATATCACATTGACTCTTGATTATTTTATAGTTAAAACACATTTTAGTGAAAGAATAATCTAATCGTAATTTGCAATTATGCTTACTGTCAGGATTACTGACTTTGCTAGCTATCTGATTACAGCCTTGATTTAATATATTTTTTTTCAAATAAATATTTAAAACAATTTAATATTTTGGAACATATCTTAATATTTTGCTATTAATATATTTTTATATTTGACTTTTTTTTATATATTATTATTTTGAAATTATTTTGAATTATTTTTTCAAACGTTATCTAAAAATATTAAATCACCTGAAAAGCTTATCTTAAACTATTAAATTAAGGCCTACATGTATTTCACCTCTGTCTAGATTAATGTTGGTATGTGTTTATGCCTTTTCATAGATTTATTGCCAATCTTTGTTGTATATCTGTGTAGTGTAGTGATTAAAAAGGAATTAAGGGACATAGAAAAATAATATGACAAATAAAAAGAGAAGTGTAAGTAGAGAGACAAAAACCAAGAGAGCTAGGAAGGAACGAGAATCTGAATTGTATAGTTGTGTGTATGTGAAATCATTTGTACAACACTACTGTAGGAGGATTCTGACTTATAACTTACCCAATATTTACGCTTAGGACACTTTCCGCATCTATTACAGAAACAAAAAATATATATAGGCATTTTTATATTGCTTATGCTATGATTAGTATCAATAATACCCTCACTTTCTAACCTGAATTATTATTAGGGTATTGAAGCAAAAGAATGAGAATATGAGAATGGACAAATGCTTAAAAAAACTCAATCGCTTGGGCCTCCCCACTCGGTCTCAAAATAGTTTTTGCTCACATGTGCCATTACATAGTGAACCAATAACATTTGCATATCAGACTGACATCTCCAATAATGTCAATCACGATCCAAAATGCTAATAAGTAAAATGATTATTAAACTATGTTACCATGGTACAGTTTATGCTGTGTATGAATGAATGCTGACAATATATATATATATATATCTATATTCCAAAACCTCCTGATACCTTGGAGCTGCAGTTCTTGCAAGAGTAATTAACTAGGCATTGCACCTAAAAAACTTTTAAGGTGTGTTGTATGATGAATGGATATTAAGTTGGCATCTAAATAGTTTTTAGAGACTTGTTTTAGGCTTCTCTGAAACCCCAATTTAAGATCAATAAAGATTTAAAATTTGGGAAAACTCACAGAGAGCAGATTATAACATATTACAAATATTTCTATAAATTGATTAACATAAAAAAACTTGGAAAAACTGTTTGTTTGTTTTTTGGTAAGTCAAGTCGAATACAATATTATAGAAATAGTAGTGAATATCCAAAAAGATATAATTCCACTTAAATCAGTCTTTTTTAATTGTTGAATTAGTTATTGATTAGAGATTCTCAGTCCTTCATTTGTTATTCATTCATAAGTGAAATTTGTCTAATAATATCCACAAAATGAGTCAGTTTACCTCCAACAAATGTAGATAGTTGATACAAATAGAATGAATGAAATTATTCCAAGAACAACAGATGTCACCAGATATGTGGGGGATCCATGAGCTAAAGAAGATATGTAGAATTAGTTGTAGAATTAGTTGTAGAATTAGTTGTAGAATTAGTTGTAGAATTAGTTGTAAAATAAGTTGAAATGGTAGAAAACAGAAGTCTATCTAACGTTTTTTCCTGAAAATAAGACATCCACCAAAAATAAGCTCTATCTTATTTTCAGGGGATGCTTGTAATATAAGCCCTACTCCAAAAAAAAGCCCTAGTTGAGATTGTCGCTAGTTTGATAATCTATGTTCGGAGAATTTTCCCCAAACATAGGTTTGCGGTATTCCACGCACTAGTGAACTGGTCTATGTTCGGGGGAATTCCCCTGAACGTAGACCTGCTTTCTTGCACATGCTTGCTAGTGCATCCGCACTATAAGCATATCATAAGAACAGATGCTGGTCGGTAAGTGGGGACCACCTGTAATATATAAAAATAAGACATCACCTGAAAATAAGCACTATCTATCTTTCTTTCTATCTATCTATCTCTCTCTCTATCTCATAGTTTTAACTTAGGGCTTACATTGCACAGAAAGTTCTAAAGGGTTGGAATATTCTGTCCCCAGGGTGTTTATTGCAGAGCAGAAATATCTATTACTCTTCCAGTTCATAATCTTGACTATTAATTTTTCAGTCGTTTCTTCTAACATTTCAGTGGAGTTGTCCTCTACCTTGTACCAAGTGTATGATGACGCAGCAGGATTAGACTGAGTAACGCATTGTAAAGTCACATTATTTCCTTGTTTGAGAAGTGTGTTCCCAAGTATCTTGACATTTGTGTTTTTTGGAGAAACTGGTAACAGAAGAAGATAGAAAGAAAAATGCATTGAAAGTCATTATGTCATTAAAGTGCCACTCTAAGCATACTTTGTTTTAATGAAGTATATGAAAAAAAAATAAAAAATCTTCACTACCTTTAGTATATGACAGGATCCTTCAGAAAGGAAGACCATAGACACAAACCATCTTTTTCAAACACTGTTTGACCCAATGATCCTGTCATATACTAAAGTAAGAGATGAGATTTTCTTATTAAAATATAAATACAATTCCCCCCGAACATAGAACGGTTCACCAGCGCAGGGAATCCTGTGAATCCATGTTATTCACCTAGAATAATTACGCAAATCTCACTTCACAACATGGAGTACAGATTTATACTCTACTTATTAATATTATGTTACTTTAATATTGTATCTACTTATTAAAATATTGTGCATACATTTGATATTCAGCTTGACCATGGCATAACTTGTTTTTCCTTCGAAAAAAGTAGCTGAGCAGTATATGTCCATGTTGTGATCATCAGACAAAGGAATATATTCCAGGTCTGTTAGGGACATCCATTTTCCATCAATGAAGTTTTTTTGATATCCTTTGCCACTTTGTTTAACTTTATTGCCATGCTGGCTAGGCATGTTCCACCACAGTGCTGGAGGACTGGACCAACAAGTATGTTCCACATGGCAGGTAAAAGTGACTGGTTGCCCTTCAATCATGTCTCCATTCCATATAATTACTGGCTGGTTTAATGTATCTGAAAAAATAGTTTTGGAACATCTGATTATAGAAAGTAAATGTACAGAAAGAAATTACCAAGTTAATTACAAATGTTTTATAATCTACTATGACTTTGTCACAGTCATTTACTAATGTGATAATTTAAAGTAAATTTCAACCAGAAGGTCAGAGTAGTTAGATCCCAATTGTTAGTGAATAGTCCTTTAACTGTTTAGATTAGAATATTTAAAAAAAAACAAAAAAACAGGTTGAGCCTTGTGGTAGTTGAAAGGAATACAATTAAGTAAATAAACAAAATGCAATTTATAGAATTCTCTGTTTTTTATTATTGTATACCATCTAAAAGACACTCCATCAAGTTGCACTTGCTTGTACGGCCACATACGCAGAAGGCTCTGCATGATCATCAACCACATATCCTTGATAGTCTGTGTGTGGATGGTCCGTCTGTGTGTGTATGGGGGTGTCAGTCTGTGTGTATATGGATCAGTTGGTGTATGTATGGGTCAGTCTGTGTGTGGGGGTGGGGGTTCAGTCTGTGTGTGTGGGTGTTTAGTCTGTGTGTGCACGGTCAGTCTGTGTGTGGAGGTGGGGGGTTCCGTCTGTGTGTGTGTGGCAGGGCTAGGACAAATCCAAGATGACTAGAAATTTTACCCTGGCGCTTGGGATTTGCCTTTTACCTAAAGCGGGCTCAGGGAGCATTGTAGCCGGCTGTCCTGGGAGGTATGGAGGTGGCCGGCTCAGGGGTCGTGGAGACAGCCGCCCTGGGTTGTGTGCAAGCGGCCACCCTGGGGAGAAAGAAGGTGGCAGGCTGGGGGAGCGCGTGAGGGAGCAGTGATCTTCCTGCAGCTCCTCTCTGCTCCCTCGCTCTGTATAGTGATGCTGAGAGCTGGAATATGACATCATTCCAGGCCCCAGCATCACTGCAGACAGTGCAAGGGAGCAGAGAGGAGATGCAGGAAGATCACTGCTCCCTCACACACAGGAATAGCAGCCCCATTTAACCCTACCCCCCTCAGCAATAAATGAGCCAGCCACCCCACTCCCTCTGTCAGCCGCCTGCCTCCCTCTCAGAGCTCTCTGTGATCCGGTCTCCCTCCCTTACTTCTCAATGAGCCGGCTGGCCGCCTCCCTCAGTCAGCAGCCTGCCTCAGCCTCCCTGATCAAACTGCCCGCCTCTGCTCTCGGGCAGCTGGTCACCTCTGGGGCTGAACAGGCTCACAGATTTCAGGATTTGTGGAGCCCTGATATATATATATATATATATATATATAAATATATATATATATATATATATATATATACACATAAATGTAAAAACACACATATATACACATTTTATAACTGCCCCCCTACTTTTGTCTCTGGCCCCCCATGTGCGAGCCCTAAATATGAATCCTGGAGACAACACTGCTCTTGTAGGATAAAAAGACTTTGCTCATAGATGTCATGATGAAAAATGTTGGCACTTGTAAATTTTTAAAGGGTGCATGTGCCATCCCATGCCAGTGACAAATTTGCAAATAGAGTCATCTTTCAACACTGTGCAATATAAATCCACAATGCACGCTGAATATGCTACTTAATATCACAATCTAGAATCACTTACATCAACTCAATGTCTTACTGAAACCTTTATTATAATTAAGTATCAGGCAATCCCAACCTCTATGGGATACATATGTCTTTGTTTTAAAAAGGAGATTTTCGAAATTAGGTCAGCTAACTTTTTGCTAGTTTGTCCTCTCTCATTGTCTTATAGTCCATTAATCCTTTATTACATCACATTAAGAATGTACAAAATAAGGCCCCACTATACAAAAAGCGGGCTCTTCTCATTGCCCTAACCAAACAAAAAAATTTAACACTCTTTCACTAAGCTTCCCAACATTCTCCATCCTTACATATATTTCCTTCCCAATTATCTTAAATCCCCCCATAACATTTTATCCCGCTCCCTCTTGAGACATTTTTAACTTGATTGTAATGTTATAGGGAGTTAGCAGTAAATATAGTGATTACCAATTTTGACGTATATGTCTAAATGGGGTTTATGTACAAAAATAGTTCAATCTCTAGTACTTATCATGGTCTATTTAATCTTATCATCACCTTTGCTTCTGTTTGGTTTATATAAAGAGTTCTAAACTAACTTTATACATGAGAATAAAACAGGACGTATTTGCCACTTTTTATTCTCAACATATTGGAAGTTGCTAAGCTTGGTCCACCTTTTAAAGGAACACTACCGTGTCAGCAATACGAACATGTATTTCTGACACTATTGCTGTAAAAACCCATTTTAGGTGGTCGTACCCTCCTTACCCTGTTTAAAGGTATAAAATTTACCTTTTTTCCAGCGCCGTGCAGGTCCGGTTAGGGCTGGCTTTGCCCAGTGAAAAGGCACACCTCTCCGAAAAGGCAGTGTTTACAGAAAAAAGCCTACAGGAACAGCGAGTAGATACCAGAACAACTATATTGAACTGTAGTTGTTCTTATTACTATTTTTGTCCTTTAAGTAATACTGCAGCATTTTAATATTCATGGCTGTCTTCTTAAACATTGACAGGAAGTATGTAACCAACATTAATTATTTGAAGAAGTCCTTACTTATGATATCAAGTTTAATAACTTGAAGATAAGGCTTGATTGGGCTTCTCAGTTGTGGGTAATACCAAGCCTCATCGCTATTTCTCACGTCATTTATTCGCAGGGAGCAGTTTTTATCTTCCGTTTTTACAACAAGGATTCGACTTCTGATTTCTGGGCTTATGTTGGATTTTGAAATCTCTATATAATTTCCATTCTCATGCTGGTACCAAACGACATCCTGACAAGGCCAGGGATTCTGGAATGAACTGGGGAGTTCTACGCAGGATCCAGTCAAAGCTTTCATATGAAATAATAAATCCCATTTATCCTGACCAAATGACACCAGGTATAATCCTTGAAAATTAAAGCAGAAACACTCAAAAAAGTTATGCAAGCAAAAATACAACTATTCACACAATTGTCTGTCTTTCATCCATTTATACACTCATCTGTCTGATGTATTAGCTATCCTCGCAACCTACTTTTCTACCCTACCCTTACATTTTGTGTCATTCTACCCCACTCCCTCGAGCATGTAAGCTCATTGAGCAGGGCTCTCAACCTCTCTGTTCCTGTGTGTCCAACTCGTCTGGTTACAGTTACGTGTCTGTCTGTTAGCCCACCCATTGTACAGCGCTGCTGAATTTGTTGCTGCTTTATAAACAACAATAATAATAATACAAATGCACAATAATACAGGAATTGGAACATGTCTTGTTCAATTATAGATCCCCCTAAACCCATTGTATTTTAATTAACCATTGCATCAGAAACATTTTAAGACAAAGGGGAGCTTATACATTGAAAAATACATGTCTTGATTGAAATGGATTTTTCTTACAACTCAAGGTTTTTACCTGAGCCAGAATTCAACAATTACAGAGTTACTGACTAAAGTGAGAATTGTCAGAAATTCAAAGTGAATTCAAAGAGAATTTCAAATTAAAAGGAACATTATAGTATTAGGAATACGGATGTATATTGCTAACATTATGGTTCCCTTCTAAATACTTATGTTACTGCCCCCTTCTACTCTGTGAAGGGGAAAGGTTATTTTACTTTCCTTTTCTCCCTTACAGAACCAGTGCACATCCTGAGCACTTTATAAACACAGTTATACTCTATGTTGTTTCTCACTTTTTTAGCAGAGTTTCCAATAATATTTGTATTTACAAACACAATATATTTCTGACCAAATGGGGATTTTTTTTAGTTTAAGTAATTGGGCAAATAATTAATATTCACTTATTCCAAATCCCTATGCACATTTAAATAACTAGAGATTTTTGGTATCACTCCAATGGCCATTTAAGTATAAGCTCACCTGCCACGTCAATTCAAACCTTGTCACAAATGTACCTTTACCCGGTGCCCGCGCCTCTCCTCTCCTCGGGCCACGTGGCCCGAATGCTCCACGTGGCCGAGCGGCATGAATAGAATACCTACCTTCGGTCCCGCAGGACTAACAGGACTAACTGCAGCCCCTAGAAATAATATAAAATTAGCCATGCCATCATTAACTTAAAGGGACCACGTCACTTAGGTGACACAATGCTGTTTGGGCTCTCAGAGGTGAAGTGGACCAATGGGAACTCTTTTGAGTCTCTTTAAGGCTTGTTTTAGCTTACATTCATGCCCTATTGTGGTTTCTGATAGATCCTCATTTAGTGCTCCTAGAGATTCCCGTGTAGGGATGTGCATTGGCAAAAAATTTGATTTGGTTCGGTTCAGAAATTCACTACGGCACTTCGGCAATTCTGGTCTGAATTGTCCGAAATTTATCCGAATTCACATTTAGAATGAAACAAAGTGCACATGTCTATTCCTTTGTGATTTCCTGTGTTTGACCTCGGCATCATATTTGACTTGTGTTTTCTGGTATCCTGACCTCAGCTTCATATTTCTCTTGTGATTTCTGGTATCCTGACCTCAGCTTGGTATTTGACTCATGATTCCTGGTATCCTGACACTAACACGTTTCACCCAAAGGGGTATGTTATTGGTTTTATTACAGTTGTTTTAAATAAAACTAGTTTACCTTACCTAAACCTTCTTTAGGAGCCACACTTTGCTCTCCTTTTGTGAGTATATCTCATTTTATTTTGCGTTTATAAAAATAAAACAGAGAGCACTATTATTATATTTTTATTCTTATTTTATGTATTTGATGAATATCTGTGACTCAGTAATTTTGAGGGAAATACCCTTGAATGCTTGACACCCTGACACGACCCTGACCTACCATCTACAAGTAAACAATCTGAGCGACATATCCACAGGCGGGGATCATACCGCCCAGGCATAAGCTCCAGAAAATTACTCATTACCAAACGAGTTTGAGGACACCCAAAAGACACTGATTCCCTATACCCTTTCCTGACCTATATTTATATTTATTCCCACAATTGTGGTATTTTAAGGTAAACACATTTGTGCTTAATTTTGCACAGATATTATTTTGTGCCAAAGATATTTTCTTTTTCTTACATATTTGGTATTTAGAATTGTGAGAGGCATTTCCTGTCTTTTGGTAGCACTTTTAATAACTATTTCATTTTATCACGTTTTCACTTTTGTAGTTGTGTTATAATCAATCTATAAACAATATTTCTTTTATTTGATGTCTGTTCAAGTATTTAGCATATTTTTGTACCTTGCAGAATAATTAAGAGGAATGTCTTGTTGAAGTTCATAATATTGAATGTGTCTCAGTATGTCAGCCTTTCTGAATGCTTAAAAATTCTTCCAGTCACACCTAAAATACAAAGAATTCATTTTATGTTTTGCTTTTTCTGCTTAACCATCACCCAAAGCTTGGAATTACATCCAAATACATCTGCTAAGCTTGTCATATAGTGAGCATAAATATAGTGAAATTGTGTGTATGAACAAAATAGACAGTGACTAAGACCACCAGTACAGTAACACTGGTTGAAGGAAGTGAATGAAACATAGGAAACAGTTACTATTGTAAAGATATGTATTAAAAATAGCAACGATATTCATAGTGCACTCAATGACAGCATTGTGAATAGGGACACTGTGAATTCCACACATATAATTCATGGACAAGGATGAATATTGAAATGTCATTAAAAGAACAAGTTTGTCATACTCCTACCATAACTGATATAGTATTTTAGATAGAACATATCCAGTTTACTTGCTAATCATTTGTCACCAAGGCTTCCAATGTTTATTCAACAGTCACATATGGGGAAAAAAGCCTCCGAGACTAGCTAGACCAGCCTATTGAGTCAGGTGGTCTCAGAACCCCAAATATTGCAACCTACTACACACCACAAGCCTAGTTCAAATGACCCAAGCTCCTAAATTGAAACCCGTGGTGTATCCAGGGAGGAAGTACATGGGCAAATGCTCCCCCAGAGAGGACTGAGAACTAAAGCCTACCTGGAAGCAGGGTCACCAACACTCTGTCCCCAAATGCCTGAATCCAAATTGTTAAAAAAAATGACAGGGCGACCACTTGTTAAGCCTGCTACACATAAGGGCATTTAACTTATTTTTAAGAATCAGGGCATCAATGCAGTGTCATAGCAGAAGCTGAATGCCTAAAGGATGCATTTTTGTAAATGTGTACGTCTGTGTTTGCGTGAATGTATGAATCATCCATTTAGAATTTGTCACACAACCAAGAGGTGTCGCTCCCGAGTTTGTTATCTGGATCCACTCCCTGGCTGAGACCCCACCTGTTTGGGCTAATTGGTAAAAAGAATATCTGTACAACGCAGCTCTCACAATTCTTATACAGTGCCCCCCCAAAAAGACACTAATGCTGCCTATCACAGCTCATGCAATATCGACTAATGCTGATTCCTATTACATCTTGGCTAAAGTACGCTCCACTAAATAGCCTAAAACTACGCACCTCAGATCTAAACACGCTACTATGAAAAAGCACACATTTTCAGTAATTTATTATAAAAACAACTAGATGGGCCAATTGATTCTTAATAATATAAGGGGGGGAAATGACTAATAAATGTCTCTAAGCATTTCTAGTTTATTTTCTAATGTTTCCAAGTGACAAATAAACATAATGTGTACCCCTAGCAATCATGCACCCAAATAATAGTAGATAGACCAAAATTGGTGCTATTCTCTGCAAAGTGCCAAATAAAAAGCAGTTAACATGGAGATAAAAAATCTATATTGAAGGAACATTCTAAGCACCATAACTACTACTGCATGCTTTGTAACAGTTTGATTTCTTACCTGGGTTCTGCTGGGTAACACTCCCTCAACCTACATTCTGGTCTGAGAGCTGGATGCTTCTGCTGATAGCTTATCTAAGCTCTACTGAGGTTAGTCCTGCAGTGTATGCTGTGATCATCAGCTTATCACTATCGGTCAACAAGCTAATCTCTGTAATGCCAGGCAACAAAACCAAAGTAAAGTTGGATGAAGTTTGAATTTGGTTGCATTTGGCTATTTGTGAATAGCCAAATCAGCCAAGTTATTTGGAAATTCAGATGATTTTAAGAGAGAACTTAAGCGGAGAAGAGAAGAACACATTTGGCTGATTTAACTAGACATGTCTTTTATTGTGACTATTGAACATTCAACTGTTTTTTAGTATTTAGTGAACAGACTCCTAATATTTACTATGGATTTAGCATTATGCTTAGCCTATAAGTAAACAAAAGTGCTGCCAGGTTACATTTGCACTGGATTCAGACCAGACTGAATAGTAGATAAAAAAAATGGAGAGAACGGAATTACTTACATGCCTTCGTTGCTTGTCTTTGTAGACTGTGTTTGTTTTCTTAAACTACGGAAGTTCAAAATAAAATTTCACAACCACAGAATGTTAAAAAAATTCTATGCCACAAGTGTGTTTCCTAATTATACCCAAGCACATTTAATGAGATTTAAAACATATACAATATATTGGTGCTATTTCTCATCGTGCACTTTTTCCTTGTCTGGAACTTAATTATTTGGTAAACTATTTTTAATTTTTTTTCTGTTTAACCAAACTTTTTGTTTCTATTAAAGGGAAGTTATGGGCTCGGATTTGTGTTCCTACCACTATAGTACCCTGTAGTGTCACACTCTCTTGCAGCACTCCCCCCTTGCTGCGCAGAATGTTTTTATCCAAAGGAGATCCCAATGGACTCCCCCAATGATATACTTTGTTGGCTCCACCACTTCTCCCTCAAGGAGGACATATTGTGTAAAGCAACTTCTGCTGACTCAATATTATTCAAAGGGCAACTTATACTGATCATACAGGACTTATCACCTTTTACTCTCCAAGAACAACAAGTACTTAAGCCGGTGACCGATGCCCTATTAGAAAAAATAATTTGTTACCATTAAGGGTTCTCCTGGCCCTAAAGGTATCCCATCATTGTAAACCCCAAATCCTAATCAGCCTCTTTGCGACATAATACGGGCTTTTGGAGCTTCCAGCTCAAGATGTTCAGGACTGGACCAGCTTCTATACACTCCTCTACAGTCTGTCTCTCTCTCTCTCAAAGGACATGATGGCTGAAGACCCTGAAAAAATGGATACCTCTCTTGCCACCACTGGAGAAGAAACCTGAGAGGGCCCTCCATACTTCCCAATTTATTCCAGTTGCTTATGGGTAAAATGTTCACATAATATTACCACTTACAGTTTTTTAAATTCTTGAAATACTATCTAGATGCCTAAATGTTAGATGTCCTATGCCATTACTAAATTCTTTGCGTGTCATTTGTTATATTATTCTTATTTAGATGTGCCCCATAATCGACCACTATTGGTCCCCTATGGATAAGCCACTGAGGTGATGTATTACTCTCTGTTATTTATCACTTGCCAAACCTGCAGGATTATCTGTTGCTTTATTACTGCATTCCTGCACTTATCACACTCCAAAGAGTGGTACATAGTTTGTATCCCCACGGTAACCATAACACCTGGTGGGTTCTGCACTGACTCATGTATTATACATATTGTAGTTAACCTACCTTCATGTTTTTCTTTTTAATTTACTTTCTATATAGTGAATTTGTTTTACCTTTATTGTGATCCATATCTCCACTTTGTGAGATTTAATATGTTCGTCATACACGGTGCTTTTCTAATATGACATATCATGGGTAAACTACAGCTGATTTCGCTCAATGTCAGGGTCTTAAATACCCCTGAGAAGTGCATGATTTTCCTTAAAGAGTCCCATAGATCAAGGACTCCCTTCCGAGAGAGGAGTGCTCCATCTCTCAAATTAAAATATATTTACCCAATCATTTTATAGTAATTACATTACAAGTGGAAATCATGAGATGTAGCTATAATTGTTTCTGCACCCACTTTCTTCTATTAAAGATTTCTCTTTCTTAAAGGGAAACTCCAGTGCCAGGAAAACAATCCGTTTTCCTGGTACTGCTGGTTCCCTCTCTCTCCCACCCCCCAATCCCCGATTGCTGAAGGGGTGAAGACCCCTTCAGTCACTTACCTGAGGCAGCGACGATGTCCCTCGTCGCTGCTTCTCCCTCCGCGACGCTCCTCCTTCTGACTGCGTCGGCCGGTGGGCGAGACTGATCCCGCCTACCGGCCAGGGAGACCTAATGCGCATGCGCGGCAATGCCGCACATGCGCATTAGCGCTCCCCATAGGAAACCAGGAAGTGCCCTCTAGTGGCTGTTTAGTAGACAGCCACTAGAGGTGGAGTTAACCCTGCAAGGTACTTATTGCAGTTTTTTTTTTTTTTTTAAACTGAAAAAATTACAGTTGCAGGGTAAAGGGTAGTGGGAGTTGGCACCCAGACCACTCCAATTGGCAGAAGTGGTATGGGTGCCTGGAGTGTCCCGTTAATGTCCACATTAATAATGTATTAAATACTTTAGTCAATGTATACTCCTCCAATACTAATTAATTACATTTCTTTAAACAAGTTCTTTCTAGGGTGCAGTCTTTCAGGGAGGGGGTTGTAATTTTGGGCACTTCCGAGATGCGGGACTTCGGCAATTCGGCACGTCAGGACTTCGCCACTTCAGGAATTCTAGACTTCGTCAATTCCCTAACCCTTCCACATAATCTTAACCCTACCCTATAACCCTAATCCTACACCTACCCCTAACCCTACCCCTAACACTTCCACTAACCCTGACCCTACACCATAACCCTAAACCTACCCCTAACACTACCCCTAACCCTATTCCTACCCATAACCCTACCTCTACCCCTACCCCTAAGCCTACCCCTAACCCTACCTATATCCCTAACCCTACCACTAACCCTACCCTATAACCCAAAACCTATTTCTAACCCTACCCCTAACACTACCGCTACCTCTATCCCTATCCCTAACCATACCCCATAACCCTAACCCTAATTCTACCCCATAGCCCTAACCCTACCCCTAACCCTACCTCTACCGCTAACCCCTAACCCCTAACCCTAACCATTACCCTAACCCTACCCCTAACCCTGTCATCATTCCCCAAAATTTACCTCCCTTTCCTGTTTTGTCACTTTTCAGAAATCCAAAGAACTTTGGCACTTCCAAAATTCGGCACTTCGGCAATTCGCCAATTCAGACATTCGAAAGCATCCGAAGGTCTGAAATGCCGAAATTCTTCCGAATTTGAATTCAGACCAAAATGAATTGCACATGTCTAGGAATAACCATATCATTACAGATAGTATAGCAGATGCCTTCTGCGCATTTTATAAACAGCTCTATAACTTACCCAGCTCAAAAATACAAAGAGATATGGTTTAAGATTATATCAAGTCTAATCTCTGCCAAGTAATCCCCCTGAGACCTTCTCCAATTTGGAAAACCATTTACGGTGGAGAACTCTCAGCAGCAATTAAGTCTACACCTGTGGGTAAAAGCCCAGGTCCAGAAGGTTTCACCACCTGATACTATATGCCACTTCTTCCTCAACTGGGCTCTTATTTCTTACAAGCTTTTAACTCTCTCTCACCCTTAGTCACTATAGCACCTCCTATATTGAGAGTCTCTATTGCTGGCATCCATAAACCAGGCAAGGATCCCTCGGTTTGTGGGAGTTATAGGCCTACTTCACTCACCAACAAAAATGTTAAGCCATTTGCTAAAATGCTAGCACTTTGCCTCAGGCCTCTTTTACCTGAACTGGTTCACTCTGATCAGAAGGGAGGTAGAGAAGCTAGGGACAAAACCACAAAAACTGTCAACATAATTCATGGGGCAGCTATCTCTTGCATACCTACTATACTGTTCTCAGTTGATGCCAAGAAGGCATTTGACAGAGTGGACTGCTCCTATCTTTTTAACTTATTAGAGGTACTGGGTCTTGGGGTGAAGATGAACTTTTGAATAGGGGCTCTTTACACTGCACTATTTGCCAACATGTGAATCAATCGTAGGCTCTCAACCTCCTTCACCATTAACAATGGAACACAGCAACTCTGTCTATTATCCTTACTTTGCATATGCCCTAACACCAACCAAAGTGCTTTTGGGTTGGCCTAGGGTATCCCATTAACAAACTATATACTGGCTTCTAATTGGAACAGCCACATCTCTTATCCCCTCTTACTGGAAACAGCTTGACCACATTCATTTGAACACTCAGTAGCCAGGGTGGAATGGATTTGGAACCTGGAGGGGTTACATTGGTTGTCTTTGGGTAAATGCCATATATAATTCAATGGGAGCTTTAGATTGGATACTTTGACATTTACGCTTGACATCTGAATAATTTCCCAACTCAACTGAAATTGACCAACTGTACTTTCTAGGGCCAAATCCAAAAATGACCAAATGATGTATGACCGCACATCTTGAGTTTTTCCTCCTTTTTTATATATTCTCTTGTTTTGTTATGTTTCATCATTTGATTGTTGCAACTTGATCTTACTTGTAACCCCATTGATTTTCATTTGAATCTTATCAATCGCTGCACTATTGTAACATTACTGTATGATACTCTATGAGTGTCAAATGTCCCTAACAAAATGTTCCATTAAAAAGATTTGCTCTGAAGAAAATCAAAAAGTAAAGTACATGTCTAGCATTTAACATAAAATCAGGTTTTTTGTAGGGTCTATGTGTGCAGTGGGTTTGGTGGGGTTCAAAAAGTTTTGAACTAAAGGTCGCTCCTGATTTTGTTTGTTTTCATAATCTGATTTGCTGTTAAGGCATGTAAGTTAAGACCTTGTACAACACTATTCATGTGCTGATAATTAAGGCTTTGTAGAATTCAGTTATGGAATGGGGGAATTTCACTCTGATGATATTAAGCACACATTTTTGTTATGAATTAAACACATTTCTTGCAGTTCACTCTCTATTTCTCTTCTCCTTTCTCCCTATCTCTATCTTCCTCTTTCACTTCCCCCTTCTTTTTCCTCCTCTCTGGCAGATGTCAGAAGTACATTGTTAACCTTTTGCTCCATAATGCCCCAGTGGTATGCCCATGATATGTAGAATTAACATTTTTGTGTGGTTCCACTCTCTGTGAATCTAGAGAGAGAAATTAGATAATAAAGATGGGATAGGGAGTCACCCAGATTTAATGTATATAGGGAGAAGGGGTTGCAAAAGTGCATTCACACATACTTAACCCATTAGATTGCATGCATACACTGTCACACGGTGCTACACAATTACACACCTAAATGAAAAATACATAAATGGAGTTTTAAATACAATTAAGGTGTAATCATACAGAGAGATCAGACCCCAGTAAATTCCCACCATATTTAAATCACTCATATATGGTAAGATGGTAAGAAGTTACAGCACTAGGAGGTCTAATTTCAATAAAAAATAATCACATTGCTATCAATCCTCTCCCTAAGTTTGGAAAACAAAAAATCAGTGTTAGAGAAAAAACAGAAACACTTTATTAAGTATAATCCAAAAGAGACAAACATTATAAAAGCCATCACAAATACTAGTGAGTGGAACACTGCACAAAAATCAAACAATAGTGAATGTGAAAATAATTGTGTGCATGTTAAAAACGAAGGGTAAATTTGCCACAATATTAAGTGGCTTACAAGTAATTGTTAGCACTGCAAATGCTAAAGAATTGTAATCACACTACCTCTGAGACGTATATAAAATATATACCAAATTTGCCAAACAGTCCTCGATTGCAATTAAATATCAAATTAGAATAGACCAGAATCTGAATGATGTGCCACTGTCTTTTAAATACATTAGAGTGAGAATTATTTTTATTTTTTTTACTGGCACTTGGTATGGTAGTGGCTTATATCACTATGTATACCATATTTTTTCTTACTGTTTTGCATACTTTGCTGCTAATGGTGGACAGTAAAGATTTGCAATACTCGCCTCCGTGTCTTTAATAAAATCATGACTTTTCATCAGGTACTAGCAAAATCATGTAATCTTATAGTAGTTAGCAGTATACTGCAACAATCTGTAAAATAGTAAGTGCTATGAATGTTGGTAAGAATCAGGAGTTTGTAGCAAATAAATCGTTCTAAATCAGAAATTTGTAGCAATTAGATATAGAGACACTGTAGAGGTCATCTATTACTTAGAGATAAGAAAGGGGACTAATTACAGCCATTAAATTCAATCTGATCTTTTGGTCAATAAATGGTA